CTCTCTCTCTCTCTCTCTCTCTCTCTCTCTCTCTCTCTCTCTTTCCAATTTTCATCTCCATCTCTTCGAACAAATATCACTTACTATGAACCTTTGGACTTTTGTTTCTGTACAAATTATTTGACTTTGACTTGAGGTCGTAATCTACAAATACTAAAGAAATATAATTGTTGCGATCTATTTCTTTTTATTTCCTTTTGAAGATAATAATAAAACATCGGCCGACAAGTCGGTCAAGTTGTACGTGCAACCCACCGCCCATGTCGTCATCACCAGCGTTCGGTTTCTTCTCACCAAACTCACCTCAAAGCTGATGCTTCTTCCGAGTTCGGCACGCATCGTTTCCGCCTTCGAAACCGACGATTTCGATCGAAATCTTTATAGTTCGGGATCGTCATATTGGATCCGTCCCATCGATAATTCTATTTATTTATTTATTTATATATATATCATCTTAATTTTGAATAAATATAATTATCATAATTTGACATGTAATATCCTAAGATAGATCGGTTAATTTTGATTATTAACTTTTTTATTTTTAATTTTATTTAATCATTTTGAATTGAAACTATCGATTTTAGGAACCGAACAGTCTATGCCTCGTCTGATGATGGCTTGGGTGCAGCAGCCGCAGCAGCAGAGGTAGAAAAGGCTGTTCTTCCTGATGATGATGGAACACATGAGTGGATGTATGTATGTCCAACTCGACGAAAGCGATCTGTACCGAGAGTGCATCACAGTTGCATGTGTAAGGAAATATCTTCGTGTGGCAGACCAACACATGCACAAAAGATGCCACACCAATGGCAGCAATTGTGGCCGAGATGTTTCGGGCTCATGCCCTCTTCTACGGCAGCGCACTGTCGGATACCTTCGCTGCTTCTTTTTGTTCTCCTCCGTTGCTTCCGCTTCTTTTTTATTGGACTTTCTGAAAGATCAGAGGCATCTTTGATGGCATATCTGCACGATGACTCAGTGAACGAGAACAAGAGCTCGGAATGCAGCCTTCGGCCCGGTTGTGTTCGGAGATATTTTGCCCTGTGATCTCCAGCATCTGTGGCTGCTGCACAATGCCATGGCCACAAGTTTTGCCAACGGGAGAATGTTCATAGTTTATTCCTTTCGTAAGAAGAGAGAGAAAAAGACAGACAGACAGACATATGAGAATTTTGTTGTATTTCATTGAGCTTCGGGCACAACTAAGCAACGGAGGAAAGAGAATTATGCAAAACAGTGAGAAAATAATATTACTATTGTCATGGAAATAAAATTCTATCGAGTATAAGCTCATAACTTTCCAAAAATTTCATTGTCTGAAAGCAGTCCACTAGAAGAAAACAGATGTTTACGATCACTCAATTGTCTGCTGGCGTGGTGTCACTTCAGCTTCAGTTGATGGGTTCCAAACCCTTTTCTTGTCCAAGGGAAAGTTACAGTAGATTTTTAAGATGTTTATGATAACTATGCTTTGTGTTTGGATTAGTTATACTTAATCATGAATTGCATGCAGTTTGAGAGTCATTTTTTTCTCAGTATGGAGAAAAGGTTTGTGTGCTTACAGTTTTAGTGCCTCTATTGAGCTATTATTTGCATTTGGAATGTCTACAGCAATCGGGATTAATATTTCATATGTTGTCGATGTCCATTCAACGGAGTTGCAATCTTGGCATTCGATACATACGGTTGTGTTGCATCCCACAGCCACAGCATTGTAAGGAGGACAAGAAGAAGAAGAAGAAGAAGAAGTAATGGTTGATGAACCATTTCATCGGTTGTTGGTTTGCAGACGAGTCTTGAAGGCCTCCCATGTCAAGTCCTTCTCCAAGTACTCCACGTTGGAGGGATCGAATGGCCCTCTCACCACATCTATGCATTCGATGACTGCTCTCGCTGGAAGAACACTCTTGGATGGATCATATGAGGTCCTGGAGCTCAAACAAGAAGAGAAACCCTGCAGTCACCGAACTCCTTAATATAGAGTGCTGATAGGAGGAAGCAAGATGGTGTCTTCGATGATTACCTTAAAGACGAGCACAGTCTCTTCTTCGCCATCCACTGTTGCCCGGACAACGAGAGCCACATCTCTGACTGCTTCGCTGTAAGCTTCCATCAACGAGATCTCCGAGTTCTGCGCATGCTCCTCGGTGTCCTCCTCCTCATCTTCTTCTTCGTACCTCACCCTTCGCCTCGCTTTACAGAGGCCGTGGCTTGTCTTGAGGCTGCGCAACTGCGGCGTGCCGAGGCGGCAGGAGATGGCCGCAGGTGGCACCTTCTGAACGACGGCAAGGGCGGGGGCAATGGGCGGAGGCAGCCATGGGTGGTGGACTTGTGGGACTGCGGCACGGATCAACATCAAGGAAGCCGAGAATGGCTATGAAAGGTGGAGGATGGGATAAGATGGCGTGTGGTGTTGGCTTCTCGGAGATGCCATTAGGAAGTATGACTGCATATTTCACGGATTCATCCAAAAACAATTTTTACCACTCGAAGAGGTCGTGAAGGCCAACGACGAAAGTTACGATAAAAATAAGAGAATGAAGAATAAAATTATAAAGGTAAAAGAAAAGTACATTAGTAAATAAAATTATAAAGATAAAAGAAAAGTACACTACAATTAGTAAAATTGTAAAGGTAAAAGAAAAGCACACTACAATTAGTCTCATATGAAGTCTATTTATACATGGTGAAAGAGAATATTTCCTTATGCAGTTGAGGAAATCTCATCTGCTATTCAGTTGAGGAAATCTCTCTGTTATCAAAGGAAATCTGACGGCTTCGTGAGTGAGTCTAGTTGATTAGGGACATTAGAGACACGTGGATTGACACATAAGTAGATAGCTCTAACATTATCATAATATATTATAGGAGTATAAGTAAATTGAGTTCAGCAGCAACGATAGTAATAACATGATATTCAGCTTTAGTTGTAGACCGAGTCATTGTCTTTTGCTTCTTAGAACTCCAACTGATTGGATTAGACCCAAGAAAGACGACATACTCTGACGTGGAGGTTCTATCATCAAAGTTTCCCGTCCAATCAGTATCAGCAAAGGCATTGAGATGAGGTCTTCGTTGAAGAAGAGGACCTGTGAATTGTGTAAAGTTGCAAATCTCTATGCAACAGTTCTACAGTTGGGAATTTGGGCGATAGAGAGCGACCTACGACCAGAGAATCGCAACCGCCAAAGGAAAAGAAGCAGCAATAGATCTCAATTAAGATATGTTGACAGAGTTCTACACTGGTGAGGAGGGGAGGTGCTGACAAACAGTGAGGAAGAAAGGTGGGGCAGTACTGGTGAGCTCAGCACTAGAGACGCCGCAACGGAAGGGAACGAACATTGGCACAAAGTGACAGTGGAGAAAACAGTTGCCGTCGCCGAGGAGGAAAGATTTGTCACACCGACGACCTGACGATGGAAAAGCAGTGGTAGATAGCCTTTTCTTTTGCCGTAGAGGTGGAGACTCTGATACCATGATAAAATGAGAGAACGAAGAATAAAATTATAAAGGTAAAAAAAACACACTATAATTAGTATCACATTAAGTCTATTTATACATGGTAAAAAAGATTTCCTCAGTTGAATACTTGCCATGCCACGCCAAGGTAGACTCTCAAAAGCCTTTCTATGGGTTTGGGATCCCTCGATTGCCCATTTTCTTGTGATTTAGAGAGATGTTGGAGTTAGCAATGCCATGAATAGACCTCCAGAGAAAGAAATCCTGCCATTACTAGTACTCACACAGCAGGACATGGAGGAAGTGAGAAGTCTCGTGTGGGGGAAGACTATCACAAGTGGATGTCGCAGTTGGTAAGGAAAAGATGCTTGATCCACACCCAGCACATCTTAAAGTAAGGTAAACTTGCAGATCATTGTGCTGGATGATGAAGTTGGCAGCATAGTCTCCTGTCTCACCTCTGTCGATATGAAATAAATCCTGAAGCATCTCAGAATTTGGAGGGAAGTCACACAGAAGCACATCTCTCTATAGTTTTCAGAAGGCAGCACATCCAACTTAGAACAAGAGAAACCAAGGTAGAGAGAACAAATCACACTTCAACCGTGATCCGATTGCGTCTAATGAGAGCAAGCGTAGTTTCGAAAGAGAAACCGAAACTTGGTTCAGATCTCAGAGGTTGCATAAGTAAATTGAGGCATCATCGAAAGAGAAACCGAATCTGTAATCCCAGCAAGAACATGGAGTGGGGAAGCAAGAGCATGGGCATGCATACCAACCGTACAAGTCTCTTGGTCTCTAAAATGGAGATCAAACAGCAATCTGCGTTGTCACTCGAGAAAATTGTTCAAAGATCTTATGTACACTGCAGTGAGGAAAAAGCAGGAGAAAAGAGAATGTTGAGCTACCTAGAAGAGAGTCAGATCATGCAGAAGAAAAAATGAACCTTCGACTTCCTTTTTATAGCTCAAAGACCATTCTGCAGAGATTGCTGGGTCCTGAGTGCTTGTTCTGAGACAGTTGCTAGTCCTTGCATTAGCCTCACAATCTCAGCTGTATCGTCCAGATAGTATTTAGCCTTGCTGGGTTTCTGACCAACTGTGCATGCAAATACTTCGGCTGTCGGGGTAAGAGAAGTGCTTGCTATAGAAGTACTGATAACCTCAAACATGTCTTCATCTGATCTGTCATCTCCGATACATAGTACAAAGTCTGACGATAAGCCCCTCTCCTGCATAATGGAAAGAAGGCGCCGGGCTACCAGGCCCTTGCTCACTCCCTGCAAGCATAACATCACTATCAGTAGCCTCATCCATGACCCGTGAGGAAGCATAGCATAAAAGCAGTGACACCTTACCTGCGGTTTAACCTCCACAATGTGCTGACCACTCTTCACTGAAACTGGTTCGTTCGTGAGGACACTCTCCAGATGATCAAGAAGCTCCTTGGCTTGGCAAGATCCAAAATCAGGATCAGCATCTTCATATGACCACACAAGCGTGGTCTCCTTGTCTTCGATCGTCGAACCATCAGTTGTTTCAGTGTACAAGTTCATTACAGGCTCTGCAATCTGCTTCCAGCTGCAATCTGCAACAGGGACACATGTTTCCCACTCTGCATCCCTCTTTAACCTGAAACCAAATGAATATAAATGCTCATCACATATCGACTCGAAGGACCAGAAATAGCATCAAACATGAACCATTTACGATTTTTTTGTCATCGCAAAGAAGCTGAGGACGGCTAACCTCAGAAAGTAACCATGTTCTGCAGCTACCCCCAGGTTCTCACAAGCAGAAAACCAGTCACTGAGAGTGGCTCGGGTTCTGGCACTAACAAGGAACACTAGGTTGTTCTTATCACGACACAAGCTGTTCATGATCTCGATCGATTTAGCGTTAGGGCTCTTATCGATCGATGCTTGTGGCATCAACGTGCCGTCGTAATCCAAAAGGATGGCACGAGTTCTCGTTCTCTTGTATGCTGAAACAATGTGCTCCATTGCAAGCTTCCTAAAGTTTGTATCAAGAGAAACCACCCTAAATCCCAATCCGAAGCCGATTCCCCAGCACCTCCTCCTCGAGTGATCCCTGCATGTCCTTTCCAGGTCTTGCACGAAACTGTTTGCCCAGTACCCTACATCGTGTGTGCTAACATACTTGTAGTGCTTCTCGTGCCGGAATTGCTTCTCCTGCTCTGACATCTCCAGAGCATTGACCATGGCGTCGGCGACGGCTTCTATGTTCCATGGATTCACCCTGATGGCTCCGCTCAGGGACGGAGAGCATCCGATGAACTCGGAGAGCACCAACATGCTCTTCTTCTGAGCCGATGTGCCTAAGCCCAAGACACGATCCAATTTCTCGTTCCCTTGTCTGGAAATGATGTACTCGTAGGGGATGAGGTTCATGCCATCCCTGACTGCTGTGACCAAGCAACACTCCGCCACCACGTAGTAAGCGATTCGGTGAAAGAAGGGGAGAGGCTCGTCGATCAGAACGATGGGCTCATACCCGGGGTTGCCGTAGGCCTCGTTGATCCTCTTCATCGTCGCAAAGCTCTCGGCCTGGACCTCCTTCACGCCCTTCCCCCGCCCTCTCGCCGGATTCGCGATCTGGACCAGGACCACCTTCCCCCGCCACTCCGGGTGCTGCTTGAGCAGCTCCTCCATGGCCAGCAGCTTCAAGCTGATCCCCTTGAAGATGTCCATGTCGTCTACCCCGAGCATCATCACCCTCCCCTTCTCCAAGAACTGCTCCCTGAGCTCCTGGACCTTCGTCTCGGTCTCCGGAAGGCCGAGCACAGACTTGAGCTGGCCCAAGTGGATGCCCACCGGCAGAATCTTGATGCTGACCGTGCGGCCGTAGTACTCCAACCCGATGTAGCCCCGCTTCGACTCGTACGATAGCCCGAGCATCCGGCCGCAGCAGGAGAGGAAATGGCGGGCGTAGTCGAAGGTGTGGAACCCGATTAAGTCGGAATTGAGCAGCGCACGGAGGAGCTCCTCGCGGACCGGCAGCGTCTTGTAGATTTCCGAGGAGGGGAAGGGGCTGTGGAGGAAGAACCCGAGCTTGATGCGGTTGAACCGCTTCCGTAGGAAGGTGGGGAGGACCATGAGATGGTAGTCGTGGACCCAGACGAAGTCGTCGTCGGGGTTGATCACCTCCAGGATCTTGTCGGCGAAGATCTTGTTCACGGAGACGTAGGCCTGCCACAGGGAGCGGTCGAAGCGTCCGCCGAGGTCGGGGGACATGGGAAGCATGTAGTGGAACAGGGGCCAGAGCTGCTGCTTGCAGAAGCCGTGGTAGTAGCGGGCGAGGAGGTCGGGCGGCAGGAAGGCCGGCACGCACTTGAAGGACTCGAGCAGGACCTGGCCGACGTCGTCCTGGTCGGCCGGCGGGATCTCGTCGCGAAGGCAGCCCACGTAGAAGAACTCCATGTCGGCGCCGCGGTCGCCGATGGCGTCCTTGAGCTGGAGGAGGAGGGAGTCCTCGTCCCAGGAGAAGTCCCAGCCGCGGCCGTCCGGGCGGCGGCGGGCGCGGATGGGGAGTTGGTTGGCGACGACGATGGTGCGGTCGCGGGTGGTGGAAGAGGGGCCGGTGGCGGAGCCGTCGGAGTCGGAGTCGGAGTCGAGGTCGGAGATGATGCCGGCGACGGTCATCACGCGGGGGATCCGCCGGCGGATCTGGCTGATAGAGGGAGGCTCGCCGGAGGCTAGCTCGAGGAGGTTTGAGTAAGACCGCGACACCATTTTTTCCGGCGATTAGAGATCAAAGAAAGGATCTTTCCGGCTCAGCAAAGCCTCGACCGAATCAAATAGCCAGTACTCATCGAAATCCCAGCTCAGAACATATCAAAGCGAGAGAAAAAGGATTTCTAGACATCCACAAGAGGCAGCAGAGGGAGCTCGACATGGTAAAAAAGTAAAAAATTTCCGAGCAAAATCTCTCTTTTCAAGGAAAAAGAGCA